AAAGGTCTGTTCCCAACAGATTATAAATTCTACTTCAGAACAAAGGCTCATTCTGACAAAGCCAGGACTGCTTAGCAGCAAAGCCCCCAAAACACACAAAAAGCCTCCTTTTTTCACTCTACATTAGGACAGGATGGCCACTCAGTGAGAAAGAGGTGAACTTGGGAGGTACACAAAAATAGTATTGCATTTATTGATATTAAGGACAGTCAGGCATGGTGGTCCATGCCTCTGATCCCAACACTCAGGAGGCTGAGGCAGGAGGATCATCATGAATTCAAGACCAGCCCAAACTACATAGCACGACCCTGTCTCAAAAAACCAAAACCAGGGCTGGAGATGTACCTCAGTGGCAGAGTGCTTGCCTAGCATGCACAAGGCCCTGAGTTCAATCCCCGGTACCACAAACAACAACAAAAACCAAAACCAGCCTGACATGGTGGTGCACACCTGTAATCCTAGCACTCCGGAGGCTGAGGCAGGAGGATCACAAGTTCAAGCCCAGTCTGGGATATGCAGTGAGTTCAAAGCCAGCTTGGACTACACACAGTGAGACCTTGTCTCAAAACAAAATAAACAGGACAAACATTCTACGTAGGTTTATGACCAAACATGGCATTTCCTACAATAAATGTGGAGCTCATTTATTGAAAAGAAGACATAGAAGGTAGATACGGTATTATGTGCCAGTAATCCCTGGACTCTAGGAGGCTGAGGCAGGAGGATCACAAGTTTGAACCCAGTTTGGGCAATTTAGGGATTTTTTTTCTTTTTTAAGACAGGGTCTCCCTGTGTAGCCCAGGCTGGCCTCAAACTTGCATCGATTCTCCTGACTCAGCCTTCAATTTAGGGATTTAGCAAGACAATGTCTCGGAGGGCTGCAGAATATTACCTTGAAAGAATAGATCTAAATCAACAACAATTCTACTTGTAAACTATGGAGTCCTTCCATTGTTTAGTTGAGCCTTTCAATACTATGTTCCCCGTACTTCTTAAATCATAGTATAAATTAACACAGAGATAAAGTGATTTAGGGGATGCAGACATAGTTTAGTTGTAGAGCACATGCTTAGCATATGTGAATTTCCAGGTTCAATCTGCAACCTCAAAAACAGTATCACCTTAAAGCTTAGTATAAACTTTATGTTCAGCAAAAACGTAACACTCCTATGGCCAAGTTTGTATCTTCCTCATCTCTGGTAAACTCAGGGTGTAATGAACACAATACTGATATGCTTAAACACTCATCGATATTATTTTGTGGCCTTTTTAGAGACAGAGTCTCACTTTGCAGCCCAGGCTGTCTGAAACTGCTGATGTCCTGCCTCTGCTGCCTGAGTGCTAAGATTACAGGCACCTGCCACCATACCTGGTGTCTTTTATTCTGTGTTTTTAGTCGTCTGGGGAATGAATCCAGGACCTCCTCTACCACTGAGCTCCATTCCAAGCTATGGTGGCTAATTCTGAAAATTTATGATACTCAAAACACTGAAAACTACCAGATGTGGTGGTGCATGCCTGTAATCCCAGCACTCGGGAGGCTGAGCTTTCACATTAAGCTACATCTCCAACCCTTTTTCATTTTTTACTGTTTTAAGACAGAATATTGTTAAAACCTAAATGTTGAGCTTGACCGTTAGATCTTCCTGCTTCAGCCTCCAAGAGTCCTGGGATTACAGGTATAAAGCAACAAGCCTGACTAAAAGACAGTTTTTAGAAATTCTTCACTTAGTGTAAACACTAAATGATTAATCTTTTTAGGGAAAAAAAGAGCTTGTGACTTCTTTGCTGAAAGAGACTGTCCATGAGTCCTTGACTGATCAATGTTGCATGTCTTTATCTGTTTTCATGAGAAACCACTTTGAAGATATCAACATGTAATACAACAACCATTGTTAATTTCCTACCACTTTGTTTGTAACTCTGTATTGTCTGTACTGTTCTTTGGCTATTTCGTAAAAGTTTGTCTGTCTGCTAATGTTTTCCTCCTTTTATTTAAAAAAAAAAAAAAAAAGAGGGCCGGCAATATAGCTCAGTGGAATCGTGCCTGCCTGGCAAGCACAATGGCATAAGCGCCTGCGTGGCAAGCAAAAGGTCTTGACTTTGACTCCTGGTGCCCAGGGCAGTTGGGGGAGTGGGTAAGAGAGCTTGTGTAGTTGGACAGTTCATTTAATAGTAATTTAAAGCCAGGCGTGATTGTGCACGCCTATAATCCCAGCACTCGGGAGGCTGAGGAAGGAGGATTGCTGTGAGTTCAAGGCCAGCCTGAATTGCATAGTAAAACTCTGTCTCAAAATGACAAAAAAAAAAAAAAAGTAATTTAAGAAGACATTTATACTGCAGAGTGAACATTCACACTTCTCAATTTTTTGCAGGGGTGATGCTAGGAATTGAACCTAGGGCCTTGGTGCTCTACTACTAAGCCCCATCCCAGCCCTTCTGCTCTTTTTTTTTTTGAGACAGGGTCTTGCTGTATATGTAGCCCAAGGGACCTCAAACTCACGGTGGTCCTCCCTCAGCCGCCCGAGTACTGGAATGACAGGTGTGCACCACGTCCAGCCCCCTGCCCTTTTGCAAGAAATTTTTTTTTTGAGACAGGGTCTGGCTCAATTGCCCACACTGGCTTTTGACTTGGAAGCCTCTTGCCTTAACCTTCCAATTAGCTGGGGTTACAGGTGTGCACTCATTGTCTTTCCTTTGTCCGTCTGTCTGTCTCCCTTTTTACCTTTCCTGTTGTCTGACCGTACAAGCCGAATATCTCTCGTAACCTCTCTTCACTGATGGCTTCAGGTCTGTCGATCTTATTCCCAAGAATCAGGATAGGCACGTTGGCAATGGTCTCATCTGTCATTAGTGACTGAAAAACAAAACAAAGAAGACAAACTGACTTGAAACCACCTGAAGAGCTTATTTTGACAAGACACCAAGACAGTCAAGGGCTTGCTCTCTCATACCATGCCATGCAGACTTTCTTTGGTAAACTTTCCCCACATCTCAGAATGAGCACACTGAAACCCTAAGTCCAACTCTCATCTCCCCAAGCTCATTCTAGAAACGCTCACTCAGCTCCCCAAGGAAGTCGGTGAGGTACAGCGGCCAGAGCCAACTCCTCGGAAGCAGGCAGACCTGGTTTCCCTTCTGGTCCTGCCGCCCCCGAGCTGCGCTCCAGCCAGCAGAGGGAAGCTCAGAGCGAAGAGGAGCAGCAGCGCGTCTTATGGTGGCAATCGGCAGATGAAATGAAGAACCACTGCCCTGGAGCAGTGCCTGTGACAGGCGGGAACCAGGAACTCTCTGACCCTGTCCCGCGACCACAGGACCTACTGGAGTTCCCCACGAGAACAAGTGTCCGTTTGCCTGCCCTGGGCGAAGTTATGGTCAGGCCAACCTTGCGTCACTCACGGGCTGGCTCGCTCTGGGCCCCAGCTCTAGTTCTGCCCTGCTCGTTGCTCCTGAGCCCCTTTAGGAGCATCTGACCTGAGAGAGGGGAGTGGGACTGAGGCTGTGCTTGCTTGCTTCTGGGAGTGCTGACTGACAGAGCTGGCGTGCGCACTATTTCCAGACTCTGGCCCAGGCCCGAAGGAATGGCATCTCAGCATGACCTAGACTCAAGCTCGGGCCACTCTGAGAATGATGCAGACATGAAATACAGAAGGGACCCTGCAGAGAGCGTGCGCCTCCAGTCTTCAGGAGAATGTGTGTCAGAGGTTCTTACAGGAGCTACAAGTCTGCCAAGTTACTCCCTTCGCATTCTAAGCAGAGCCATTACTACGTGAAGCAACTGCCACATTTCACCAGATTGCAGGAGAGCTGCACTGAGAGCTCCACCTCCAACCTTTTTCTTCAGGAGTATCAGGTTACTTTACTATGCTTAGTTGCAATTATTTAACTTACATCAAGTTCTTCTTTTGATTCTAACAGTCTTTCATGGTCTGCACAATCCACCAGAAATACAATGCCATTGATAGCAGGAAGGTAGTTTTTCCAAACTCTTCGGGCTAACAAAAACAATCAGGAATTAGAATTTATTTGCTGGTCCAGCCTAGCAGATGGTGTGACCGAAGAGCCCATCAAGGTATCAGGACTAGCTGTTCCACTGGGCCTGGCAGCACATGCCTGTAACCTCAGCACTCGAGGGCGGAGGCGGGAGGACTGGCATGAACTCAGTCGCAGCCTGGGCTACACAGGGAGTTCAAGGCCATCCTGAACTACACAGCAGGATCTTAAAAAAAAAAGAGCAGCTATTCTACCCTTTAGTTAGCTGCTGTGATTTCACTATGTACTGAAGTTGGCCTTTTACCCAGTGGTTCCAAAATCTTTCCAGAATGCCAAAGAAGGAATTTCAGGTTTTCCACATTGTGAGTGAGTCAAATGTTTTACCCTTCCCCCATTTTGCCTTGTGAGAAGGACAATTAAGCCAGGCCTGATGGCGCATACCTGTAATCCCAGCCAGCCTGAGCTATACAGGGATACTCCGTCTCAAAAAAACAAAGGAAGTTCTGCCAGGCACATTAATCCCAACACTATGGAGGACTGAAAGTTCACGGCCAGCCTGGGCAACTTCGTGAGACTCTGTCTCAAAATAAACAGTAAAAGGGCTGAGGATGTAGCTTAGGACAAAGGCGCCATGTTTAATCCCCGGTATTGAAAAAAAAAGTCTACCACTGGACAAGGAGGCACGTTATTACCTCAGTGCAAGACTGCTGCTATCTAACCTAAAGTAAACAGTAAAAAATGCACACATGCATATATGTGCGGCATGCACGTTTCCGACGCTTCCAGTGAAGCATCTGCAGCCACTGACAAGGACAGCAGGGCTGGGGAAGGCTCCCATCAGGGAGGCCAGGGCAACACTGGGCAGGGCAGCACGGGGGGCACCGGCTGGGTTTGGCTGGAGTGAAGAGAACGGGAAGGGGAGAATCGGGAAAAAAGACAAGGACAGTAAACGGGGGCATCACAGAGCCCGGCCTTCATATGTAAGGAATGCAGCTAGCAGCTGAAGGTTCTCTCAGAGCTGTGTATGTGACAGGTGCCAGGGGTCTGAAGCAGAGAGATGGGAGGCTGATTCCCATACGTAACTCCCACTTAAACTGGCTAGTCCTGTCACGAAAACCACTGCGGTTCTGAAAGCGTGTCTGGGAGTAACAACCCCCAAACTTCAGGTCTACTTTGGCCCTTAAGTGGAATGACATTTCATGCATTAGAACAGAGTGGCCATGTTTTTATTTAGTTAAAACAAAAGATTATAATAACATAAAACATTACCTTGAACATGTCCACCCAGATCAAATGTTGTAAAAGTCATACCGGCAATAGTCAGTTCTTCAGAAGCTGAATAAGAATACAAAATATTTTTACAACATAAACATCAGAAATCCATTCAGAGCATACATTATAATTTTTTAATTTTAATTTTAATTTTTAGAGACAGGGTCTTAAGCCGGGCACGGTAGAGCACACCTGTAATCCTAGCACTTCTGAGGCAGGAGGATCATTGCAAGTTCGAGGCCAGCTTGGGCTATAAAGTGAGCGCAAGACCAACCTGAACCGCATAGTGAGACCCTGTCTCAGAAAGAACCCCCTGCCAAAAAAAGAAAACGAGACAAGGTCTTGCTATGTAGTTCAGGCTGTCCTTGAACTCACAACAATCGTCCTGCCTCAGCCTCCCGAGTGCTGGGATTAGAGGTACGCACGACCATATCTGGCAGAGCACACATTATAATTTATATCTGATTTATGTTAATTGCAAATAAGATCAAATCAAAGAACAGCAAGTAAAAGTATATTTTGTTGTTATTAAACATACTCCAGACAACGTGACACAAGTAATTAGAATATTCAATTCTTTGGCTTGTTTTTTGGAAAGGGTCTCACTATGTAGTTCAGGCTGGCCTTGAATGCATGAAGTTCTTCTTTAGCCTCCCACGAGCTGAGACTACAGGCATGAGCCCCTAGACCTGGCTCAATCTAGTAATTTTCAGGTAATTCTTCTTAAACGATACGGGTGAGATAATTTTCTCTTATGGCTATCATGACTTTTTTCTTCTTTTTTTTGGTGCTGGGGATTGAACCCAGGGTTTTCTTATGCTCTACAACTGAGCCACATTCCTAATCCCAAGACAATCTTTAACAACAAAATTTGTAATAAAAAATTGGGGGCTTTACTCAAATTATTTTTGTTCCCTCTTTTCCTTGTGGGACTTGAATTACAAATTTCTTAGACTGCTTGATATTGCACCACCTTGAAGTTTTGTTTATTTTTATTTCAGTCATTTTTCTCTGCCTTTTGTACATGCCTACTGCACTGACTTAACTGGTTTTTCTCTCTGCAGGTCTGGCATGGTCTAACTTGCTATTAATCCTCCCATGAAATTTTCATTTCAGATATTAGAATTTTCATTTTTGTATGTTCCATTTGCTTGTTTGATATCTTTATTTCTTTCCTTGTTAAGGACATATTTTCCTTTAAGTCTTTGGGCATATATAACAGCTATCTTTTTTGGGGAGGCTGTTGGGGACTTTGCACGGAGTTGCATTCCCAGGCCCTTTATTTTGAGACAGGATCTTGCTAAGTTGCTCTCGCTGGGCTCAAACCTGTCACCGTGTCTCAGCCCCCCAGAGTGCTGGAGTTAAAAGCTGTGTGCCACCACACCAGGCTGGCCCTCCTGCTTCTGATTTCCTCCTGTTATGGATCACATTTTCCTACTTCTTGCATGTCCATTAATTTGGATTCAATTGTATTCCTTTCAGCTTTTCTCTGGCAAACAGTTGCCTGTAGATCAGTTGTCAGGTTTTGTTAGGGCAGACCTAGAGCAGCCTTTACTTTGGGGCTACTTTGGTCTCATTACTAAGGTGTAGTCCTTCCGGGTTCTCCATCGAGTGCCCTGTGTATCCAATTAAGATTTTCCATTCTGAGTGGTGGGAACGTAAATACTCCCAGCCCGGTGTGAGTTCTGGTAACAGCTTCTTGGCTGGCCGTGTGGGGTTTTACCCTGTGCATCGCAGGCTGGGAGTCAGCCCTGCAAATTTCTGAAGCCATTCTCTCGCGTTCCCTCCTCTCCAATACTGTACCCGACAAACCCTGCTTACCTGCTCCGTCTCCTCAACTCGGAGACTACTGGGCTATGATCCCTCCTTGCACTCTGACATACAGCTATTACAAGAACAGTCTCTTTTCCTTCTCCCAGGAATTAAAGCCCCATGCCAGTTATTGCTCAGCGCTGCAGGATGGCTGAGGTACGTTTTGCCCAGCGGTCAACAGTGGAGCGTGATTCTGGGGTCTATGACTCCTCCTGCATGCACAACGAGGTTCCCTGCAGTTACCACGAAACTTTCACTAGTTTGAGTCAGAGCTGTTACACTGACTGTGAAGAACTCTATGTATAATATCAAGTGAATGAAATATTTCATACGTCTGTGTTCAGAGTCACTATCTATAATGCAAAGACAATGCCTGAATATGGCTGGAGATCTACTTCCGCAGTTACAATCCCTAATACATTCTGTGGCTCACAGAAGTCCCAACTTCATTAATTAAAATACAGAACACCATTAACATCTCCAAGCCCCCTCCTGCTCCTTTCCCATCAATCCCACGCCCGCCCCAGGAGGAACCTCTGATAGGAATTCTGTCACTGCAGGTTAGCTCTGCCTGGTCTCAAACTTTATATAAATGGTATCATATAGCAAGTATGACATGACTTCAACATGACTGAATGTCGTTTACGTTCCTTTCTCACTGGGTAGAATTGTACTGCTTATCCTTATTTTTTTTTTTTTTTAAATAAATGCCAGAGGTGTTTCTAGCTTTTCACTATTATAAATAAAGCTAGTATAAAGTTACCTGAACAAGGCTTTAGCTAAATATATCTTTTCATTTTCCTGGGCAAATACCCAAGAACGGAACTGCCAGATCACAGGTAGGATGTATGTACTGTACCTTTTCACATATGTTTTTAGTTGAAAAATACATGTTGAAATCAATGTGAGCAGCAGCAAAGCCAAGACAGCGTAAGTTTTGTGCTACTGTATTCCTAGTCTCTAGAATGTCTAACATAGGAGCTGAACAAATATTTGTTGAATAAATAAAAGAGGGCAACACCAACAAGTAAAAGAACAAAACTTACACCTGATATAAGACTACTCCGCAGTCTCCTCCAATCTCGCTGCTTTTGTGATTTTGTATGCACCAATCTCGCCACCATCATTTTGTCTTTAACAGAATTGTTCCTGCATCACAATCCCATTCCTCAACCCCCACTCTCTTCTCCTAGTATCAGAAGACATCAATTTTATAAAATCCTTTACCAACCTAACAGTTTTATAGATGAAATAAATACTTGGTGTTCTTTTTTTTCCTGTTTTTTCTCTTTCTTCAGTCTTTGAACATTACCAGGTCTGGTGGCGCAGACCTGTGATCCCAGCACTTAGGAGGCTGAGGCAGGAGGATCTCCATGAGTTTAAGGCCAACCTAGGCTACACAGAGAGTTCAAAGCCAAGCCTGAACAATATAGCAAGATCCTTCCCCTAGCCCCACCCCCACAAAAAAAGAAAGAAAGAGAGAGAGAGAAAAGTCTTTGAACATTTATTGAACTGAATACAGTCTTATCTAAGTTTTGGTCTAGTTTTCAATTCTCTTTTCTCTTTTGTGGGGAGGGCAGTACTGGGGATTAAACCTATGCCTTAAATTTAGTTGTGGTTTTTTTTGGTACTGGGAATCAAACTCATGACCTTACGCTTGCCAGGTTGGCGCTGTGCTGCTGAGCTCTATCCCCAGCCCTAGGCCTTAAATTTGTGATCCTCCTGTTTCAGTCTCTTGAAGGGCGGGGACTACAGGCATACATAGTGGCACTCATTATTAAAGGTGCAGTGAGCTGAGGATGTAGGTCGTGTTAAGACGGCTCCCCTGGCGTACACAAGGTCCCAAGTTCAATCCCCAGAAAGGCAATCAATCGATATTTTATAATTAAACATGGATTAATTTACCTTTACATTTTATGTCTATCAGATCTTTAATCTTTTTGCCAGTAAAAGTAAGGTCACAGGTTTTATAAAGTAGACTTCTGTTTCTATTTGCAGTACTAGAAACTGAACCTAGGGCCTTCACACTGAGCTACTCCTCCAGCCCTTTTTTTCCTCTTTCTGTCATTTGGAGATAAAGTCTCTCTAAATTGCCCAGGCTGGCCTCAAATTTGGAATCCTCCCGCCTCAGCTTCTGGAATTACAGGTATGCACCACTGTATCTGGCTTGTTCTTTATTTATTTTTAAATTTTTATTTTTACATATATATTTGTTTGTTTTTTTAAACAGGGTCTGGCTGTATAGTTCAGGTTGGCTTTGAACACACTATGTAGCCCAAACTGGCCTTGAACTCATGGCAATCCTCCTGCCTCAGCCTCCCATGTTCTGAGATTATAAGCGTGTGCCATCACGCCTGGCATTTTATCTATAACTGTGGTGCTACAGATTGAACCCAGGCTACATCCCCAGCCCCTCTGTGACATTTATACTACCTACTGTTGAGATTGTCAGGAATAGCAAAGTAAGTGGTTAGTAAACTGAGAGTAGCAGCAATTTGTAAAACCATAACCTGTCTATTGAATTAATGGTTAAAAGACTATGGTTTTAAAATTTGAAAGAAATTTATGTTATGCAAACAAGTAATCATGACTATCTATCCTGTCACAATTTCTAATATAACTTTATGATTCCTCTAGCTACAGAAAGGAATACTAACTGATAGAAAGCTCTGAATATCATTTTAAGATCTAAATATACTCCCTGAGAACCAGTTCTCTTATTTACTATACTATTTTAGGAACAGGTCAAATAACCCTATCATAAACTATCCATCTAAACAGAAAAGTTTTTTTGGGTACAGTACACCCTGCAAAGTCATTGTTCAGAGTTCTCAGCCTTCGCAGGTTTTTCCTTAGAACCTAACTAGTAATTGTTCGCATAAACCCCCCAATTCTGCAGAAACCACAAATATCCCCCACAACTGTTTTTTTGGGAGGAGGTTTGCAAGTAGCCAATCCGAGTGCACGGTTCAGTTCTCCTTGCTGCTGACTGGCTGCTGCCCTGTAACCCCTCCTGGGCAGATGCACCTGCATTCCGGCATCGTAACAGCTTGCTGTACTGTGTAGCTATTTCAAGTGTTCTCAGTTTTGTTCTTCTTAAAGCCCTATCGCCCTAACATGCCACCACAATGCCCTGCACCTTCTTAGGCTTTATTAATACAGTATTTTACTAAATTAAATAACTCTAGGAGACAGCATATTTAGGGTTTAAACTATAAAAACAGACATTTATAGGCATTTTTCCAAGTCTGAAATTCACAGTATTTCACAATTCGCAGGTGCTCTAGGAATATAACCCCCACAAGTTGTGGGAGTCTACTATAGCGCCTAACTCCCAGCATCACTTTAGTAACCCAGCGTGTGGTGATCGGGTACAATGTTGTGCGGGAGACGATACTTACTGGGATGCAATGTTGGGACATGCTGTCCAAGTCTGTCATCTTTTAGCATATGTAGCAATGTTGTTTTCCCCGCATTATCCAATCCAAGAAATACCAATTTACCAGTTTTCTTATATAATCCTGTAGAGTAACAGATACAGTTAGTCAAAGTGATATCTAACACAGGTTGTCCAAATAATTTTAAATTTAGTATAAATAAGTTTGAATTTCTAAACTTATTTTCAAGTTTCTGTTTTCTCTTTTCCCAATATTGGGGATAGAACCCTGGGCCTTTGCATAGAGCTATACTCCAGCCCTGTTTTAATTTTTAGACAGGGTCTCACTAAGTTTCATAGGCTGGGCTTAAACTTGTGATCCTCCTGCCTCAGACTCTCAGGATGCTGGGAATACAGGCCTGCACCACCACGCCTGGTTTTATTTTCAGTTTTAAAAGAGCTGTTTAAAGTCTATTAAAGCTGGGCATGGTGGCCCATGCCTGTAATCCCAAGTGCACTTGGGAGGCTGAGGTAACAGGATTGCGAGTTCGAGGGCAGCCTCACAATGTAGTGAAACCCTGCCTCAAAAACAGAAAAAAACTTATTAATGATTGGGGTTTCAAGTAATTAAAAAACTAAATCTGACTCTACAGTAGAATATGTGTTGCTAAAAGGTATCTACATTACCAAAAGGTTGCTTGCCCTGACAATTTAGAAATGAATATTGTGGTGGTTCATTTATTGCCCTTCAGCCTCCTGACAGGGACCTGCACAGACACCGCCCTGGGCTCCAAGCCCTCAGCTGCATCCTTCGAGTCTCCAGCACACAGACAGATGTTCGGTAATTGTCTGCATCTGACTCTAGTAAGCACTGACCAAATACAGTGTTTATGAAAACATTTATACAATACTTGATGTCACGTATTTAGGAAGCTACACTGAAGGAAAAAATAAAAGAATTTTTTCATGGATGAAAATAAACTAAATATTTTAACAAAAGAAACCACGGCAAGAGTTTTATTAGTCAAAAAGTTAAGCTTTTCATTGTTGAATACTCCTAAACATAAGGTCAAACTGTTGATCATGGAATTCCATAAAACTAAGCAATAGCCAGGGGTGGTGGCGCACACCTGTAATACCAGCACTTGGGAGGCTGAGGCAGGAGGATCATTGCAAATTTGAGACCAGCCTGGGCTACAAAGTGAGCTCAAGGCCAGCCTGACCTGCATAGCGAGAAACTGTCTCAAAAAAAAAAGAACCAAAAAAACCTAAGTAATAACAACAAAAAAGCAAGTATAGCTGGGCGTGGTGGCACATACATATAATCGCAGCCCGCAAGAGGGAGGCTGAGTGAGACAGGAAGATCATCATGAGTTACAGGCCAGCCTACACTACACAGAAAGCTCAAGGCCAGCTTAAACTATACAGCAAGACTCTGTCTCAAAAACAAAACAAAATACAAAAACCAAGTATAGATGAATGTGGTGGTGTACATTTATAATCTCAGTGCTCTGGGAGACTGAGGCAGAAAGATTACAAGTTTGAACCTAGCCTAAGCAATTTAGTACTCAGAGAGACTGTCTCAAAATAAAAAATAAACGCTGGGGATGTAGCTCAGTGAGGTCCTAGGTTTAGTCCTCAATACCATATACGTAAAGTGTACCATACACATTAAAAAAAAACTCAGTACCAATAAATTGATAAATAGGATAAGAAAGGCAACAATGACCAACTGATAGTAGACTGACACTTAACTGCTACATTTGACACTGAATTTTTTTCAATAATAAGTGATTTTTTAAACCAGATATGGTGGTGCACACCTATAATCCCAGTGCCCGGGAGGCTGAAGCAGAAGGACCATTGCAAGTTCAAGGCCGGCGTGGGCTACATAGTGAGTTCAAGGCCAGCTTAGACTACATAGCAAGACTGCTGAAACACACAAAAACAAAATTTTGTTTTTTGAGCTAGGTGTAATGGGGTGCACCTGTGATCTCAGGACTCTGGGAAACTGAGGTAGGAAGATCGCAAGTGCAAGCCCAGCCTGGGCAACTCAGTGAGACCCTGTCTTAAAATAAATAAAAATTCTGGGATACAGCTCAGTACAAAGGCCTTGCATTCAATCCCTTGGTACTGGGGCTTAAACGCAGGACCTCACACACCTTAAATATACTCTCTACCACTGAGCTGCACTCCCAGACCCGAACTTTATTTATTTATTTATTTTTGTAATTTTGAGACAGGGTCTCACTAAGTCGCTAAGTTGCCCAGGCTAGGCCTGAATTTACAATCCCCCTGCTTCAGCTCCCAGAGCAGAGTTGCGGGCCACCAAGACCAGCTCACTTGTATTCTCAACAGCTGGCACATTTGTAAAAGAAGTACTGCACAAATAAGTACATGTATATGAATAGGATTTAACGGGATAAGTAGAGAAAACAAAAGGCCAAGGTTACCTAAAAATTGTAGCACACTGCTGAAACCACTGTAAATCCAATCAAATATGAAGGACATATCCAGATCTTACAGGGCCTGAAAAAAAGAATTTTGGGTTTAATAGTCATCATTAGGCACCAATATACATTAAATACCAACAGTGTTAAACACCAACTCTCAGTAAATAATCCTACAGTAACCTTAGACAAGAGTTACACATTGTTATCCAAGTCCTTCTAACCAAATTATACTGTTGTATGAAAAACAAAATTCCATTAATATATCAAGTAAAGCTGGGCACTGTGGCTCATGCCAGAATCCCAGCTACTCAGAAGACTGAGGCAGGAGGATCTCAAATATGAGGCCAGTCTGGGCAACTCAGCAAGACCCCGTGTCAAAATGATAAAGGTTATGGAAGTAGTTACTGATATAATGCCCCAGATTCAAACTTCAATACTGCCCCAAAAAAAAAAAAAAAAAAATCAAGTAGAGACCATTTTTTGCCCATTAAAGTAGCAAAATGAAAAAGAATTATAACAATAAGGACTAGAAAAAATGTGGTTAAAAAAAAAGAGGCACAACTGGAGTTTGGTGTGGTCCACACCTATAAGCCCCACTACCCAGGAAGCTGAGGGAGGAGAATCACAAATTCTAGGACAGCCTGGGCAACTTAGTGTGACCCTGTCTCAAAATTTAAAAAAATAAAAATAAAAGGGGCTCAGTGGTATAGCACTTGTCTAGCATATGCAAGGTCCCCAATACCAGGAAAAAAAAAAAAAAAGAAAAGGCACAATTGGTTGGTATTCTAAGAGGTTGAGGCAGGAGGATTTCAAGTTTGAGCCCAAACTGGGCAACTTAGCAACTTGAAAAAATACAAATAAAAATAAGGGGCCAGGGATACAGCTCAGCAGCTCAGTGCTTGCCTGGCAAGTGTGAAGTCCTGAGTTTGATTCCCGGTACCACAAAATAAATAAAATAAAAACAGGACTGGGGTCATAGCACAGTGTGAAGGCTTTGGACTGTCTCCAGTCTGATTATACCTGTGTGGAGCATCTTTCCTTTCTCCCCCTCCCCTCAATCCCTCTTCTTCAATAGCAATTGGTAGCCAGGCATGGCGGTAGGCACTTGCAATCCCAGCAAGCAGTAGCCTGAGGCAGGAAGGTTGCTGTGAGGCCAGTCTGGGCTACACAGTCAGTCCAAGGCCAACCTGAACCAGTGAGGCCAACCAGTGAGATCCTGTCTCAAAAAAAAAAAAAAGGGGCTGGGGATTTAGCTCAGTGGCAAAGCGCCTGCCTGGCAAGCGCAACGTCCTGAGTTCGGTTCCCGGTACCGGAGAAAAACCAAAAAAAAAAAAAAAAGCCAGGTATGGTGGTGTATGCCTATAATCTCAGCACTTGGGAGGCTGAGGCAGGAGGATCACTGCAAGTTTAAGACCAGCCTGGGCTACTAAATAAGCTCAAGGCCAGCCTGAACTGCACAGCGAGACCCTGTTTCAAAAAAGACTGAACTGCACAGCAAGACCCGATCACAAAAAAAAAAAAAAAAAAAAAAAAAAAAAAAGGAATGTCAGAGATAGCATGGCCCTTTAAACTTTGTGGACCTGGCCCAAGTTTCAGGCATGTTCTTATCTAGAAAAAGAACTTTGTTGACCTCAAAATGTGTATGTGCATTTTTAAACAGTTTTGGTGCTGAGGATTGAACCCGGAGCTTCACATATGGTAGGAAAGTGCTGCACTGATCAGGTGTATCCCAGCCCTGAAAGTACCTTTTGTACCTGACTCTTTTTTCTCTTGAGAGGTCTTTTATTTTCTAATTACCCGTTAATCAACATATGTGTTAAGTATAGTTCACTCTGAATCGAACTGTACTTTTTCTGCTATGACTTAAATAGTTTTAAAAATACTGTATTCAGTAATATGATTAAAATTTGAAAAGCTTAAAAATATCTAAGAAAGCCAGAAGTTCACTACATGGTACCAGCTGCATCTTTTTTGAACTTGTGGCCATCCTCCCGCCTCAGCCTCCCAAGGGCTGGGATTATGGGCATGTACCACCATGCCCAGCTATCTCTGACATTCTTTAGAAAAGTCTGACACACACATTGCTTTCTTTCATCACCTCACTCAAGTGGGTCATCAATCCTGACCGGATGAGCTCACTAAACTCAGAATCTAGAGGTGAGAGGCTGAGAGATCACATCACCCTGAATGAGAGAGGGAGACAAGAGCAGGCCCAACTCCAGCTTGCACAAGGCCTAGCAGTCCTGTCCATGAGAGCCCCTGGGGCCAGGCAATAGCCTCTCACCTCTCTCTTCCACTTGCTTTTTTTTGTGGTACCAAGGACCTTGCACTTTCACAGGCAGGCGCTTGTGCCGCCGAGCTATTTCCCCAGCCCCTCTTCCCCTTGCTTGAACTGGCATAAACAAAATTTTGTCCTTACAGTCAGGCAATTCCTAATTAAGTAACCCGCAAAAGTATGAAGAGTTGTGTATGTCAGCATCACAAGAGTGAGGAGTGGAGTGGCAACATACACACAGACATACACGAATGTAACACCATGACAGCGCCTATTTTACTCAAGTCAAAATCACTTTATTTTGAGACAGGGTCTTGCTGTGTAGCCCAGGCTGGCCTCAAACTTGCTGTGATCCTTCTGCCTCAGCCTCTGGAGTGCTGAGATCACAGGCGTGCACCACACCTGGCAGCTTTCCAGGAGATTTTACAACGTGGTATGTTTTCCAAAGAAAATCTTAATAACCTTGGGTGCAGAGAACCAAGCAGTAGAGTATGTTGAGCTATTTCATTCAAGTTAACACATTTTATGAGTGTATATTACGTCCAAGGTCCTGAGCTAGATCCAGAGACTACAAAGAATGAGAATCAGCATGGCTCTTCCACTTAAAAAGGTTCTAACACTAGACTGAAAGTTAGCCCCACAATGTGATTTAACTGAGAATCATTAAAACTAAACAGTGTATTATTTGGGATGATACTAACCTACCTACCTTGGATTCGGCACATGCCTATAATCCCAGCACACAGGAGGCTAAGGCAGGAGGACTGCTGTGAGTTTGAGGCCAGCCTTGGCTACATAGTAATTTCAAGGCCGGCCTGAACTACAAAGAAGGACTCTTCCAAAAAAACGAAAAACAAAAGAACCAAACCAGAACTTCTCACCTGATCGAGTCTTTAAGGGACAAACCGGGGTAGGTAAAGCAATGAAACCAGGAAGGCTAGAAGAATTAGAAGAGGCAAAATGGGAAGGAAACATGTTAGTCACAAAATACAACTACATGCTGGGTGTGGTGCTACCTATCTGTAATTCTAGCACTTGGAAGGCTGAGGCAGGAGAATCACCATGAGCTCAGGGCCATCCTGAGCTACATAGTGAGTTCGAAATCAGCCTGAACAATACAGGCCTGTCTCAAAAACAAACAAACAAACAAACAAACAGCAATTAGAGAGACAAGGGTCTGGTGACAAAGGATCAGTTTTTGACAGTTTGAACAGGATGCAGGGAAGCAGTCTACTGGAGAACCTAAGGCCAGTACTCAAAGCAGCACCAAAGCCATCTCTAGGACTGATGTGCTGTGTGACTATCAACGAGTTACATGTTTCTTCTGAAGTATCTCTTGGGTTATTATAAAGCTCAGATGAGATAAACCGCACAAAGGAAGCCAGGCTAGTGTTATTACTGAGAAGTGAATGGGAACAAAGCTTAAAAAGTGGAGCCATAACTCAGGCATGGTGGCGCAGGAGGTTGAGGCAGGAGGATAGAAAGTGCAAGGCCAGCCTTAGCAACTTAGTAAGACTCTACCTCAGAGAAATAAAAGACCTGCAGATGAAACTCAATGTTCCCTGGGTTCAATCCCTAGTACCAAAATAGGGGAGCGGGGAGGGAGAAGAAAGGAGAGCCAGGAAATCTAAGCAAGTAGTAGGAATATGACTCTAAAAGTTGAGAAGTGTACAGAAATTGTAAGAAGCAAACCAAGGGTGGGGAATGGAACAAGTTAAGGAACTGCTATACAGGCTGAGGTGTACCTACACAGTATAGCACTTGCCGAGCATAAATGAGGCTCTTCAATCAAAATCCAGCACTGCAAACAACAGACAAAACTGCCAAAGAGATCTGTTAGGATTAAAAAGCAAATCTTAGCTGGGTTTGGTGGCACACACCTATAATCCCAGCACCGGGGAGACTGAGGCAGGAGGATCATTGTGAGTTTGAGACCAGCCTGGGCTACAAAGTGAGCTCAAGGCCAGCCTGAACTGCATAGCAAGACCCTGTCTCAAAGAAAGACAGAAAAAAAGCAAACCTTCAGGCTGGGGATATGACTCCATGGCACAGTGTCTGCCTGGCAAGCACAAAGTCCTGAGTTCAATTCCTGGTACCAAAACCAAAAAAACAAAAAGCAAGCCTTCACAGTAGTGCCAGTGAGCATAGACTTCCACTCTAGACCCCTCTACCACCATCAGCAATAGTCAGCTTTAGAGAAGATGAAATGATTGCAGATTAGAGACCTCCAGAACAGCAATGCAAAGGACACGGGGACAGGACCTAGAGGGCACTAGTGAGAGGAAGGGAGGTGGTGTGACCAGAAGTCCAGGCTTAGCTGATAAAAGTGTAAAGGTGAGCAGTATGTGTATGACTATGAGGGTGGTGACTGAAAGCTGGCTTTACACAGACATGGGGAAATGGGGGAGGTCTGTAGCCGTAACACAGGTATAGATATAGTAAAGGGGGAGAAACATGAAAGACACGCTAGACTGTATCAGCGAAATAGAGGAGGATACCGGGTTTGAGGACTTAAGAGAAGTTCAGCTCTGGGTGTGACAAGCTCCAAGGTCTGGCTCTGGCCTGGAAGAATGAGAAGGAGAGGTGAAGGACATGAAGAGCCAGGCTAGAGGGGACACAGTCCAGAGGGACCGGAACTGGAACCACCCAGAGCCTGCAGAGAGCAGGCTGGGTGAAGAGGCAAAGTCCTTACTGGACACAAAGGCTGATGGTAGGAGCTGGGAGGAATGGTGTGGGTTAGCACAGGGGAAGCCATAAGGAACAAAGATGTTTTTCCAGAAGGACGGTACTAATTTCCTCTTCTAAAATTTGTCATAAGAGAAATAATACAGAGAAAGTACTCCAGAAAATGAGAGATACTTTTATTTCTATAAACTTATTTCAAAGAAATTTAAAGCTAGGAATTGTTAGAAACAAAATTAACAATTTCTGTTAGTATTTTTTTTAAATGGAGAAAAAAACAATCTTAGTACAAAAGCTACTTAGATAGAACCCAATACCTGAGCCCTGAGAACAGGTTACACAACCTCATGAACACATTATTAAGACATATGAAGAGCAAAGGTCAAGAACAAGGAAATAAAGACACGTCAGCAGATTTATTTATTGCATGAACATCCAACAGGAAAAGGCCCTAGGCAGATTAAAAAAGTAATCTACTCAAGTAACATGAAAATCAGTGCAACGGATGTAATGGAATAGAACTTCTCAGATTACAAATAACATCTTAAAACCACGTCCTATTAAACTTACACGGGCCTGCCGAACTCCGGACAAAATGTCCAGAGTAGGCAAATAGTTCAAGCAGATCAGCGGCTGCCGGCCTGGGGGCGGGGGGCGGGGAGCAAATGCTAATGGCTCCTGGGCTTCTTTCTGAGGTGGTGACGGCTGCACAACACTGTGACAACATTAAGAATACTGAACGCTGCGAAGGGGTTTGTGCTACGCCAACTGTAGCTCAACAAAGCTACTATAAAAAAATAAAAGACAGCCCCATGCCTATAGTTCCAGCCAGTCAGGAAGCTTAGGCACAAGGGTCTTAGTTCAGCCTGGGTAAGTTAGTGAGTCCCCGTCTCAGATAAAGTAAAAAGGGCGGGGGATGGAGCTCAGTGGCACAGCACTTACTTAGCATTGTGAGGTCCCGTGTGCAATCCCGAGTATGGGAAAAAAAAACACAGGAGACGACAAAATATAAACACTCCAAAGAGCAGTTCTGGGAAGCTTGGCATGCACTACACGCCTACAATCCCAGCACTCTGGGAGGCTGAGGCAGGATGATCCTATCTGAGCCTAGTTTGGACAATTTACTGACTTAGTAAGGCCTGTTTCAAAATAAAAAAATGAAAAAAGGAAAACAAAGTGAGGATATAGGTTAGTGCAATGATTAAAACAAAATTCTGTAAGATCTATATATTATCTGTAGTTGGGCATAATGGTACAAGCTTGCAATCCTGACATTCTGTGAGGCTGAGACAGGAGGACTACAGTTTTAAACCTAGCCTGGGCAACTTAGTGACTCAGCAAGACCCTGTCTCAAAATAAAGAAGGGCTGGGGATTTGGATAGAGACACTGGGTGAAGCCCCAGTATTATTTAAGGGGGATGGGGCCTGTGCGTAGCTCAGTGGTAGGGTACTTGGCTAGCACGTATGAGGCTCTGGGTTCAATTCTTAGCATGGTTATAAAGAAAAAAAAAGGAAGCTATCTTTCTTGAGACAGGGTCTCTGACATGCAGTTCAGGCTGGCCTTGAACTCACCACGTATATGTGCTGCCAAAGTGTTACGGCTTGTGTCTAGGTGTCTCCCCAAAGCCTCATGCAGGCATAGGTGGGGCTGTTTCAGAGGGGGCTGGATCTAGAATGTGTGACCCTGGGATCAGTTCATGGTGTAGTGCTAGGCTCAAGGGCACTAGGATTAAGGGTGTGAGTGCTTCCTGCCCTAAGTAGCCTGGATATGATATAAGGGAAAGAAAGAGCCGTGGTTGACCCTTGTTGCTTTGTTACCTTCTGCCCACCATGAACTGTCTCTCTCTGCCATGCTGCCCTGCCTTGGAGTCAGCTGATTATGGAATGAAGCCTCTACAAAAACTGGGCTAAGTAAACCATTCTCCCTTTAATTTTGGGTGTTAGGTATCTTATCTCAGCAATGAGAGAAAAGTAACTAAGACACCAAGTGAGCACAATGAACTGTGTATCCCAGGCTGGCCTTGAACTCAGTACAACCCTCCTGCCTCAGGCTCCTGAGTGCTGGGTTACAGGAGAGTATACAACCATGCCCGACTCGCAAGTAGACTCTCTGTAAACTAATTTAGTAATCCCCTTGTAAGTAGTACTAAAAATATACAGAAAGCCAAGGTATGTTTTGTACCTTAAATGTTCCAGGACAGTGCTGCTTTACAAATTTTTTTCCCCTGAAATTGCTGATTTTTTTTTCTACAGCCTTTAAAGTTGAAAATATAGTATAAATATCTTCCTGGGGGGAGGCACCTCAAATATTTTAGGACTGGATGTATAGCAATTACAATTAGTGAACAAACCTTTTAGTTCCACAAAAATACATGTTCAAGTTTCCTTTAGAGAAAAGTGACAATTGAAAGGTTAAAACCATGACAAATAAGCCAGGTGGCACAGGCCTGTAATCCTAGCACTTGGGAGGCTGAGGCAGGAAAACTGCCATGAGTTCAAGGCCAACCTGAATTATTATTGTGAGACCCTGTCTCACACTCCTCCCCTGCAAAAAATCCATTAAATATAAACAGCCTGAACTACTTGGTGAGACTCTGTTCCAAAACCAAACAATTCCTAGGTTTAATCCACAGTGGGGGGAGGGGGGAGGAAAAAAAACTGAGTACAACTTGCCAATATTAAATTAAGAAAATTATAGTAGACCACTTGATGACAAATTGAATCCTCAAAACACTAATTGAACATCTAAAAACTATACAAAGAAGAAACTTTTCAACACTTATTTAGTGTGCAGAAATGATGAATCATTACTAAAGAATTCTAGTTTGTAAGCTTGGAACGATGTGGCAGTGATTTCCATTTCTGGTAAGTCTGATCTTTATGACAAGTCTTGCTTGAATTTCTACTCCAGCAAAATGGTGCAAGGAAAATGAAGATTAAAATCTACCTTAAACTGCTCATCTTTACAATTACTGTACAATGCTTCTCTAATATTTCCAGAATGAGGAAAGTCCTTTCCTACAAACTCAGAAAGTGCCAATGAACTATATTAAAGTTTTTTTATTTATTTATTTGTTTGTTTGTTTGTTTTCTTGAGAGGAGTGGTCTTGCTGTGATGCCTAGGCTGGCCCCAAACTTCTGAACTCTAGTGATGGCCCACCTCAGCCTCTGCAATAGGTGGGGACACTGCCCAAAATCTGGGGGTGCACACTGCCCCAAATCTCTCTTTGCTTGCTTGCTTGGCTTGTTTGTTTCGGTTTTTCCAGACAGGGTCTCCCGATGTAGTTCAGGCTGGCCTTGAACTCACTAGGTAGCCCAGGCTGGCCTGGAACTCCTCTGATCCTCCTGCTTCGGCCTCCCAAATGTTGGGATTACAGACATATGCCACCACAACTGCTTTAAAACTTTTAAGAGTGTGCCACCATAACTGTCTTAAAACTTTTAAAGTTCAAAACAGCCGGGCGTGCTGGTGCACCCCTGCAATCTCAGCACTGGGGAGGCTGAAGCAGGAGGATCACAGGGAGTACTGTACAGCTTCCCTTAGTGGACTGTTGCATGCATGCCTAGGTAGTACCTTTCACACAGTTTATAATCAATAAACGTTCCTTTCCTACTTCAATGCAATTTATTCTCAACCAGTATTTTAGCACTGAACAGAGCAAAACAGTAACATTGTGATTCAAGTAAGAATGTGCAAACAAGCATAGGTTGGATTTCTTCATCTCTGCTTGTCCAATATATCAAATACCTTAAATTCCTGACTAATTTGGTTCTTTCAGGTAATGATGTCAGAGTGTTAGCTGTTCTAAAACCAATTTCTATCGCGTAGGGAAATCTCGGAACACTGTGAATTACGTCGGTTTCTCCAAAAGTGTCCCTCTCCCGCTCACCGAGGGCCGGGCTAGGGCAAAACCTCAAGCGCTACGAGGAAGGAAACTGGCTGTCTCCGCGCTACCTGGGAGCTGAAAATAACCTGTCGCGTCACAGCCTCTCCCGCTGGCGCTGATCCCCCGCTTGCCTTCACCTTTCCGGGTGGGCAAGGTGAGGACCAGAAGAAAGCGCCCCGGCTGCAGCCCTCGGGGTCTTCCCGAAGCCCCAGCGTCCACCGCGCAGCGTCCCGCCCGGGGCGTCACGGCGGCCCGGCCTCCCTCGCGGGGCAGCAGGTGTCCTCGCTCAAGGGCCACCGCGCCGGCCTACGCCCTAACATCGCCCCTGTCCCGGGGGCCCCCAGCCGCCGCCCGCCGCTCCTCGCTGCGGAGGGGCTGCCACTCACCTGCGACGGGAGCGAATGCAACTCCTCGCTGGACGTCGACCGCACTCCCTCGGAGACCGAACAGCAGTGCGCGATGGTTGCCGCGGCCTCGGCCCTCTTCGGCTCCTTCCGGCGGGCGGTGCCTCGCTGGAGACGTCCCCCGGCCGCCGCGCCGCGCGAGCTCAGTTCCGCCTCCTTGCGGTCCCCGGCCGACCCCAGGGCAGGGCGCGCCAGCCCGAGTCTCTGGCCGCCTTCCCCTCCTCCCGCAGCAGCCCCGGACTTGAGGGACTCGCGGCGCTCCCTTGAGGAGATTATATGTGTTATCTGTTAATTAAAACTTCTCTTCCCTCCACTGCCCCGACCAGGTGCTGGGGCTCGAACCTAGGGCCTCAGGCATACTAGGCAAGCTCTTTACCATTGAGTGACACCTGCAGCCCTTAAAACTATGTTATTTTTTTCCTATACTGAGGACTGAGCGCAAGGCCTTCGCACTGAGCTACATTCCCCAGGCTTTTAAAATTATTTAATTTGGGGGCTGGGGATATAGCTCACTGGCATAAGCGCCTGCCTGGCAAACTCAAGGTCGTGAGTTCGATCCCCGACACAAAAAAAAAAAAATTAATCTTAGGTTTTGAGACATGGTCGTGCTATATAGTTCAGGTTGACCTAGAGCTCACTATGTAGCCCCTGCCCCAGCATCCCGAGTGTCGGGATTACGGGTGTGCACCACCAAGTCTGCCAATTTTTTATTTTTGGGACAAAGTCTTTCTGAGTCACTATCTTGCCCGGGCTTCGAATTCATGGCACTCCTGCCTCAGCCTCCTGAGTGCTAGGATTACAGCCCTGCACCTCCATGCCATCCAGGAGAAATCCCAATTTCTAATGTTAAAATATACAATAATGTGCTATGAGTTCAGATACAAAGTAAGCTTATTTTCCTTTATCTGAAATAAATATACATAATATCTTCTCTGAACAATAGCTTATAAAGCTATTTAAAACATAACAAGAAAAAGCTTGCACTTAGGAACTTGCAGCATAGGCATATCTTTTTACATGGCTTTGAAAAAAAAAAAAAAGGCCTGGATCCCACAGGCTTGTCCCTTCTCTCTCTCCTGCGTTCCTCACACCTAGTCTTCAATTCAGTTTGGGTTAATTAATTCCTGCGGGCCGTGCCTCGCTGGAGACTCCCCCGGCGTTCTGAGACTTCTTAATTTAATTGAGACTTCTTAATTTACTTTTCCCCTACCCTTTCCTTACCTTCTGTCTTTCCAGTATGGGGGATCGAACCCAGGGACACTCCTGAGATATATCCCCAGCCCTATTCTTTATTTTTATTTTTAATTTTTTTAATTTTTTAATTTTTGGGGGTGTTTTTTTTTCCTGTACCAGGAATCGAACTCACGACCCTGCGCTTGCCAGGCAGGCGCTGTGCTGCTGAGCTAAATGCCCAGCCCCCCCCCCCTATTTTTTATTTTTAAACAAGTTCCCAATAAGTTGCCCAGGTTGGCCTCAAACTTGTGATCCTCCTGAGTAGCTGGGGATTCCATGGGCCACCATGCAGGGCTTTATTTTAAGAGTACAGTTTAAACGGGGTGTACCCAGGTGTAGTGGCGCACGCCTGTAATCCCAGTGCTCGAGAGGCTGAGGCAGGAGGATTATTAAGAGTTTGAGACCAGCCTGGGCTACAAAGTGAGTTCAAGGCCAGTCTGAACTGCATATGGAGACCCTGTCTCAAAAAAAA